TTTCATACTTACTTTAGCAGAGATTTAATAGGGAAAAGAGATAAATATAAGTAACCAATCATCAATAACCAAACTATTTATTATCAATTGATATCAATAATCACTGATTAACCAAAAATAAATAGATTAAGTTCATTTAGAAAAACTAAGAAATATGATCATTCTCATACTCAATATTCTGGATTTTTTAAAATTATACCTGCTTTTATAATAATAGCTAGTGTTTATTGAACATCTATTACTAGAAAGTAGCACAGAAATCATTCCAATATTCCTAGAGCACTTATATCTGCATTGGGATTTGGAAAGAACTCACTGTGACCCATTTCCTATGCACCTGGGTGTAACTGTGACATTTTCCCTGTGTTGCAATCTGAGGAAGTTAATAAATCCTATGGATTCACGTAAGTGACAATTCCTCCCCTTCTTTGATCCCTTACCTGTGAGCAGGAAAGAAAGAGTGATGAGCACAGTCCTACATCCCTGGGATGAGATGCAACATCCTAGGAGTCTCCAATTCCTCCTCTTGCCCAGAGGACACCCTGACTCTTTCTTATTTATTTGTTACCCCAGTAATATATAAATGTATTGCACATTTACTGTTTTTCAAGCTCTGTGCTCAGGGCTTTATAAATATTGTCTCATTTCTCAGTACCTTAAAAGGTAGCTATTATTACTCCCATGATACAGAAGCAGAAACTGAGGCTCAGAGAACTAAACTAAAACATTGCCAAGCCCTCTAACCTACTAAGTGTCAGCAGGAACAGCAAGTGAACCCAGATTTGCCAGTTTCTAAAACCTGAACCACCATGTCATAAAGTCACTGCCAGAAATAAGAACACCAGAGATGGTTCCCAAACCCCTATACAGTTTGAAAATTCTGGGTTACAAGAACAAACACTCATTTGCACGTGGTCTTTCCTCCCTTTACTCACTGGGAGGTTCTGGCTGGCTCCACAACCCCCAACCCTCCTCACTCTCTAGTGAGTTGCTTCAGGGTCAGGACATGCTCCTGTCCTGCTCTTCCTACCCTTCCTCCTCTTCCTCATTTTAAATAATTTTAGAATTATAGAAAAGTTGCAAAAGTAGTACATAGAGAACTTTTATACCCTTCATTCAGCTTCCTCTTGCTAACTTGTAAATAACCACGGTATGATGTGGGAAAACAAGAAAAGTATCATTGAAAATACACCACTGCTCTATTCTAATTTCACAGGCTTTCCCACTGACAGTCTTTCTTGGTTCCAGGATTTAATTCAAGGTCTCACATGGTATTTAGTTGTCATGTCTCTGTAGTCTCTTCTGATCTGAGACAGTTCCTCAGTTTCTCTGTCCCTCACAACCTTGACACTTTCAAAGAGCATTAGCAATGTATTTGTATTCTGTCCTCCAATTTGCGCTTGTCCGACATTGTCTTATGATTAAATTGAGTTATCAGTTTTGGGCATGAATACCACGGAAGTGACACTCTGCCCTCCCCAGTTCTTCAGATGAGGAGGTGAGTGAGGTCAATATGCATCATTAGGGACAATGTTCACTTTGATGACTCCGTCAGGTGATATCTGCCAGTTTTCTCCACTCTAATGTTACTATATTTCCCTATGTAATTGACAAAGAGTTTCCAGGGAGATACTGTGAGACTAAAAAATCCTGTTCTCATCACACTTTTACTCACTAATTTTAAAATGTATCAGTGATTCTTGCCTATGATTATTAAATGGGAATTCCAAGTATGCCTCGTCTCCACATCTGTCTCACTTCCACATTAAAGTTGAACCTTAGTGTTTCTAGATGAGAGTCTAGGTCTAGGCCCATGCCCTAGTTGCAAGGGAGGTTGGGAATTTCAGTTCTGATTTTTAGATTGGGATTAAACACAACAAGTTCTACAAATATAAAAAAGAATTTCCAAGGATGGTATGCAGTCATGAATATGACTAATGTCCACTCTGAAACAAAACACAGAGCAAGCATAGAATAGTTAGTCTACACGCATAGACCATCTCTGGAAGGTTCCAAAGGAAAGTGGTAACAGTTTTCTCCAGAGAAGGGAACTTCATTATCAGGAGGAGGAAGACAATTATCAGTGTATATACTCTTCTGTACACTTTGACTGGGATGGATGCAAAGGAGGAAGAGAAAGAGAGAAGGCAGGGTAAGAAGAGAGGGAGAGAGGCACTGTCTCTCTTGCTCCTCTCAAGGTGGGCTCCAGCAGGACCTTCTTACTTCTCTTTGCTCTTCCTCGCCCTTCTTCATCTAGATACATCAGGACACACCCTCACCACCTTCGCAAGGAGAAATTATAGAACTTGCCTGGACATAGAAAGTGCTTGTTATCCACCCAGCTGGGAAGGAGGGTGTAGCTATAATAGGCACATTTTGCTTCTCTGCACTAAACTAAACTTGTTCTCCACAAACATGAACACAGCTCCTGAGTCCCAAGGACCCAGTGAAAATAAAAATTAATTAAGTGTCTGTTGCCATTTCTTAGTTGCCAGACTTTTAGCATCTTCCCAAACCAAATACTTAATAAAGAAACTTACACTGGGTAACACCTTGTTTTGTTAAATAAAAAAAACATCAATCAAGAAAATAACCACCTCTTTTTGTCCAAGCAGCTTTCTCATGCTCTCTAAATTAATTACACAAAATTTTTTAAACTTTGACAGCTCATCTTGTGGAAGTAAGAAGGTGCTAGAGGAAGAAAGTCACTTGTGTTTAGCAAGTTAAGGGAACCAGGAACTGGAGACCTTCTCCTCATTAATTCCCCTTTTCTGTTTAGTGAACAAGAACATGGCCACGTCTCTAATCCAGTCCAATCTACTCAAATCCCATATGATAACGCAGACAGGACTAACTTACTTTTAGAGAATACTAATTCTCACATCAGTTTTTCAATATATGGGGATCTGATAAGTTGTCATGTCAATATTTGCACTGCGAACATGTAAAATTTTGAGGTCAGAAAATACAGCTCCTCCTTATCCTCCATCATCTACTAACTGAAGTACAATAACTATCTGCTAACTTAAAAATACCTTACAACAGCGTTCTAGAGACTACAGGTTATTATAGGCAACTATCAAGCCCTTATCCTTATCCAATGCCTCAAACTCCATCTCAAAAATCGCCTCCTTTCTGAAGTATTTTCTGACACTCTCCACCACTTCACATACCTGGCTGAAGTAGACACCCCTGTTGTGTATCCCTTGGCTTCATAATTACAATTTGAAGATAAAGTCCGTGACTACTTCATCTGAGTATTTTTCAGATAATGGTGTAGCTCACAATAATACAGTGGCTGAATGAGTAAGTAAGCGAATCCATTGATTGATTAATATGTGTGCGATTAATTAAATAACTGACTCAGAGTGTTGATTCTGCATGTTTTTCAAGGGGGAGAAAGGGTGAGTATGGCTTGTTTATATATGTATGAGATTTTGACATCCAGAATACATTTTTTAATCTACTTCCAACCCAGGATCTTAAGGGATGGGTTGGACCTGTGTCACAAGAATGGTAACAACTAGGTAGTAAGTAAAAAAATAAAAATGAAAGTAAATCTTGGGACACACAATATGGATGAAACTCAAAAACATAATGTTGATAAAAAGAGGCAGACGAAAAATAGCACATATTGTCCAATTCCATTTATATACAGTACAATAATCAGCAAAATCCATCTAAGGAGTTAGAATCTGTCAGGATAATGGTTACTCTCAGTGGTGGGGTGATAGTAACTGAATAGGGGTCTGGGGGGTTTCTGGGGACTAGTAATGTCATGTTTCTTGATCTGGATGCTTGTCGCACAGGTGTTCAGTATATGAAAATTTGTGAGCTGTATATATGTGATTTATGCCTACATATAATTTCAATTAAAAGCTTAAAAAATAAGGCAGAAAGCTTAAAACCAGTTAAATTATTTTCCACAATCCAGGTATCTTCAGCTAAAATGAGAAACCAGTTTGGTGTAAATAAAGCCATAATACTTCAAGACCACGCACAAGATCCTGAAGACCATCTATATTTTAACCAGCCATGAGCAGTCTCTAGAAAGCAAGACTTTAGACACTTTCTGCCCAAGATAAAAGCATATTTGCTCAGTGTTGGGCATATAAGGAAGAAGGATCAGATAACATTTGACCTAATTCCTATAGCTGACAAACTCTATTAAGTCAGGAAATTCAATTTCAAGTTTTCAATTATTTTGTGTTAATTATAAACCCCCAGATTTGCTGACAATGGTTCAAATGGCCTTTCAAAGTGAACTTCAAAATTCTTCTATGCTATAATGCCTGAAAGTGGGATTGTTCAAGGAAAAACAAGGATTCCATTTCTAAATAATGTAACATTTTAAAATAATATTTAGGTTATCACAAGCTTTATGTACTTGGTATCAATCACTAAAGCCTGTATTATACTTCATGAAATCCCACCATGGCATGGTGGTGGGCATTCCATTTCTCTGCCTATTTACATATGGAGAAACTATGGTTTTCGTGTCTGTTTCATCAACCACTGTTAATAAATAAATCCTAAGGGCTCAACTCCATGACTGGTGCATAGTAAACACCCAACAAATGTGTGTGATGACGAACAAAGGAGGCTTTGTTCATGACTGTGTAGGAGAGAGATTGTGTAAATTGCCCCAGGCCACACACCCTTCCTGGGTGGCCCAGCTCTCTTTGGAAGAAAACCCGACAGGAAGGTGACCAAGGGTCTGGGTGGTGAATACGAGGTGAGCCACCCAGACTTCGGCCTGGGGTGCGGCCCTGGACTGCCCGGGGTCTTCCACTCTGCGTATTCGGGCGCCTCAGCCTCCTCGGAGGTTTACCTCACCCTCTTACTCAGAGATGAGCCGCTTCTGCTTCACAGGTCCTCCAGGCGCTTTAAAGAGGAGCCGATTGTTCTAGCCTGGGGTCCACGGGCCTGGACGCACCCACCCCGGGGAGTCAGTGACGAGTGCACCCGGAGGGCAGGGGAAGTAGCGGGTCTTTAATCACCTGGGCTCGTCCAGAGGAACCCGGAAAACCAGGCGGCCGAGGCGCGGGCGGAGAGGAGGCCAGAGCGGGGCAGGACGCGGGCGGCGGGCCCAGGGGCTCCCCGCACTCCCGCTACGGAGCAGCCCCGCGGCCCCGCGTGGCCCGGCAAAGCTGCGAAGAGCGCCTCCTCTCCAGGAGAGCGGGCCCGGCAGGCCGGGCTGGGCGTGCCCTCACCTGCCCGCGGCGCGCTGGCCTCGGCTTGCGCTGTGGGATCCGAGCAGGGAGGGGACGGTGCGCTCGGCGTCCCGCGTCCGCCCAAGTCCCGGCCCAGCCTCGCACGGCAGCCGCCGCCACCGTGCGCCCCGTGGCCCCAGCTCGCCAGCGCCCGCCCCCGGCTCGGCCTGGTGGCCTCTGCGCTGGGCCCCCAGGGGTGCAGCCGCCACGTGCCCGCCTGCGAGGCTGCAGGCCACAGGCCCCCGGAGAGGAGGTGGGTGCTCAGGGGCTGGGAGGCGGGGGAGGGCAGTGGTGGGCTGATTGCGGAGACTCCTGCCTCCTTCCTCTGGCAGACCCTGGCACTTAAATGCCTGCTGAATTGAAGTGTCCTCGGGCGTGTCACCACTTTCTTCCGCCCTGCCTACCTGGCGGCGCAAAATAAGCCCTCCGCCGGGCTGCGGGGACTGCGTTTGTGGGGATAAGGAGTAGGTTTCTCTCCACGCACCATCCTCCCCGGGTTCCCCGGTTCTGCAAAGCTGGCAAAAACAGGCCTAGTGGCCTTTGGACAGGCACATTCTCTCATCTTCCAGGGGAGGCGACGGGGCCTGTTACCGCATCTTTCTGCCTGCCTGCCTGTCTGTCTTGCATTTTCTGTAAAGGACAGGAGGAGGGCTTCAAGCAGGGAAGGCAATCAGCTGACCTGCTTTGATTCTTGTTCTGCTCAGCTTAGATGCGCTGTCCTGCTTGGAGCTGGCTGCTCCCTTCCGCAAGTAACAGCTTGCTGCAGATGAGTAGCTCACTGAAAAATGAAGGTGCATAAAGATAGGAGAGGAATGCGGGGAAACCAGATTGTCTAACTTTAGCCTGAATTTCGTTGTAAGGGAATCGCCATCCATTGCCTAAATGGGAAGTGTTTTGAATGCCCAGGTTAGGAAAAGAAAAGAGTTTATGTCTGCGTACTCAAGAAACAAGCAGTAAAAGAATCACAGGAAAAAAAAAAAAGCTGTTTTCTTTAGGTACAAAACATTAAAAACTAAACCTCAAATCATAGCATTTTAAGAAATTGTAAGGATCTTAAAGCCAAAGAGTTCAATGCCATGTTATGAGCTTAACCAGAAAGGCAGTAATTTCATTGTCTCCTCATTGAAAAAGATTTTTGCTGATAGAAATGCTTAGTGAAAGCTGCTAAGAGTTTGGCTTGTGCGGTTTTTTAAGAGTTTTATTTCATATTGGTGTTGCAGCATGATCGAGGATGTGTCCCAGTGTCATGGTCAAGAGTTTGGAGTTAGAAAGACCTGGATTTCCATCTGGGCTCCACCATCTAACTTGCTGTGTGACTTCCAATATGTTGCCTAACCTCTCTGAACCTGAGTTTTCTCATTTCTAAAGGAGATTACTGAGAGGATGAAGGAGATAACACAAGGATAGGAGTTAACACAGGGTACATCACCCATCAGTGCACCATACATGAGTCCTGAGGCTGATGATGACAGTGAGGCAAGCAGCTAGGCCCAATGTATAATGCCCATGCAGGAGGTCCCCATGTGTGCCTCTGTGCATTGGGAGGTACGAGCATTACATCCCTGGGATGCTTCTGGTCTTAAAAACATAAGGAGCTACTTCTGAACTCTTGAATTTGATTCAAACAAATAAGTCTTTTCCTAAGCTTGTTCAGATTTGCAGTTTATCTATTTTGTGTATTTTAAGATTCTCTTATACTTACAAATGTGAACAGTTTCAAATGAGCACAAAACTGGTATAACAAAGGTGGTTTAATTATTGCTTATTATTAAATATCATGCTTCTCAGATGCCACCATAGTCTCTGCCTTAATAGTGATTTGGGTGGGTTGAAGGGAAAAACCAAGTCCTCAAGCTAATTTTTCACAAAGCTGTTTCAGCTCAAAAGTGTGAGCCAGAGACCAGCGTCGCTGGGAGCTTGTATAAACGCAGGGTCTCCACCTCCACCTCAGACCTGCTGAACAGAATCTGCATGTTAATAAGAACCCCAGGGGATTCGTAAGAACCTCCATTGGAGAAATCCTTTCTTAGGAGTTTGAATGCACTGATGTTTCTCAAAAATAGCCTTATGAAAACATGGCTTTCTCATAGGTTGTTTTTAAATAGTAAAGCAATAAAGCTTTGCTATCATGTCAAAGACTGATTTTTATTTTAAATCTTAAAGTAGCCCCTTAAAATGGTAGTATCACTTGCTTTCTATTTTAAAAGTCATAGTGAGCTGACATTTTAAGTTCTGCCAATTTCAGATTCCAGTGTTCATATAACCCCCTGAAACATTTCAATTATGATACTGCTTAGCGTCTCTCATTCTGATTCCTCCAGTGAGGGGGATCTAAGGGTTTGAAGCTCTCACTCCATCTCTACTTGCAAGAGTGGATCTTGTATGTCTGTCACTCCCTTATTAAATCTTTTGCCAAAGTTGCATTCAAAATCTTATATGGTGCACTTCTGTATCAATTTTTATGTGATAAAAAAATGGTGACTCAAATAAATCAAATACATAATGATTGTTAATGACCTATATCTTTAAGGGTAAAATTATATTTTATATGACTGAAGTAGAAACTATTTTGCTATATTTTTATTTTTTGGATTTTCATACCAGAAGATGTAATGTAATGATACATTTATTTAAAAGATTTTAACGACATTGTTTTTTAAAGCCAACTTTATTGATGTATAATTAAAATCTGTGCATTTTCTTGTAAGCATATGCAAAGTTTACTTCAATAAAGTTGAGTTTTTTTAAAGCTATCAAGGATTGCCATGATTTGTTGCCTGTTGCTAGAATAGTTCAGAGAAGGTCAAGTCAATAGAGGGAAAATGAAGATTGATGCATTGGGCAGGCACAAGAATAAATATCCAAGTGGTCCTGGGGCATTGGAAAGATAAAGTAAATAAATGTAGAAGGCTTGAGACTATTTTTATTAGGTGTTTTGTCTTTAAAGTTAGGGTGCTGAATTTAATATTGAACACTGGAAACCCTGCAGAGTTTTTGAAGAGGAAACTAAAATGAAAAACAAACATGATTTGCTCTGCTGGCCTTGCTGGCAAGCTCCAGGTTCCTTCTCACATTGTGATCTGTCTCCCTTTTCGTGCAGCAGACACCTGCATTTGCCACAATGCTGTCCTCCAGTGACTTTGCCTCTGCTTCTTGGGACCTCGTGGTCCGCGTTGCCCATCCGAATGAAGAGGAGCAGAAAGATGTGACTCTAAGAGTGTCCGGAGACCTTCATATTGGGGGAGTGATGCTCAAGTTAGTAGAACAGATCAGTAAGTTATTGTTTCTTTGTGGTTTCTTCATATTTGAAACCCTCTCCATTGCATCACCACCAAATGGTTGTCTGATCATCTATGTTTTTCTGATCATCCATCTTGTAAGGCCCAGAGTAGCAGCCCCCTCCCACCAGGGGGAAGAGAAATAGGGTGCTCTGCAAGAGCCATAAACTGAATGCCTGGACCACACTATAAAATCTTGAGTCTTTGGAGGCAAAGTTCCCCAGGAGACACAAGTTATATGTCTACAGGGATGGGGCCCATTCCACTTTGAGTGGCATGGCATTAGTTACTGTGTGAGTCTCTGCTAATGCTTGACTGCTCAGTGATAAAGTCAGCTTGGAGCTACTGTGTTTTTTAGCACTTATCTACCATTTGCTCCTCTCCCTGTTTATACAAAGAAAGAGGAGCCTTCAGGGCCAGAGTCATTAGGTGTCAAAATGATCAACCTAGAATTTAAAAAGGTTCTGTTTTTTTTGTATTTGTTCTTATCTTCTATGACCATAGATGTGGCTTCTCATTTACACAAGTGAGATAAAGTTTTTTTTAAGTAAGTCTCACTGAAATATAATAGACATACAGAAAAGTACATTCATCCTAAGTGTACTGTTCAGTAAATTTTCAGTCATGTAACTTCCACTTAAATTGAGAAGTAGAACATTACCTGTTCCCCCACCCAAGCCTCATACCTGACCCCTCCCCCAGTCACTGCCCCACCAAAGGACCATCACTGTCCTGAATTCTAGCACCCATATAAGTGGAATTATATAGGATATATACTTATGCATCTACTTTTTTCACTCAACATTATGCGTGTGAGATTTATCCATATAGTTTTATGAAGTTTGGTTCATTTCATTTCTTATTGCTGTATAATATTCCACTTTATAATTTTATCACAGTTAATCCATTTACCTGTTGATGGGCCTGTGAGCTGTTTTCACCTTCAGGCTCTTACAGACAGGGCTGCTATAGCATATGTCTTTTGTTAAGTACATATAGGCATTTCTGTTGGGTATATATATATATATATAGCTCAGAGAGGAATTACTGTATAATAGGACTTTCCAAGATAGTTATAGCATTTAGACTTCTATGAAAACATTAGTGAAAGTTTTCTAACTTAGAAAGAGAAAGAAATCATTTTTTTAAGTAAATAAAAATACTGGTGACCTTTAATTTAGCAAAATAAAAGATTGAATATTGATGCCAACCACACTGACAAGAGGGAAAGACTTGATTTTAATGTCAATGTGAAGGAAAGATTTGATGTTGATGCTGACACTGAGAGAGAAAACAGTCAGCTCTGATTTCTGTGTAGATGCTGGAAACTGGGAAAACAGTGGTGCTGATAAAAGAGCTGGGTATTACAGAGAGGAGTAAAATGTCAGCTTTACGGTACTTCTGTGTGGACTTTGACTGGGAGCTATTGATATTTCCTTATGATTCAGTGGTAGAAGGATATTTCTTTACTGGAAAAATAATCTTGATTGAACAAAGCCAAATGCTCCTGGCCCTTCCCCGAAAGCCCTTCCCTGAAACCATTAAGGGATTTTAAGAGAAGAGAACATGACCATTGTATCATGAACAAAGTGTGTATGTTTTTGCTCCGTCCACAGTATTTAAATATGGTGATGGGAAGTTTCAGTCTGTTTTCCACCTGCCACACCTTAGAGACTTTGAAGAGAAGTGGAGAATTGCCCAGCCTTGGGTTGTAAAAGAGATGAGGGACTAAAGATCTGTTATCTGTTCCTGTTTTTGCAACACAATGCAGTTGACTCTGGAGTGCTCTCTCTCACTGCCTTTCATTGTGTTCTCCTTTTTTGTAGACATATCCCAAGACTGGTCAGACTTTGCGCTTTGGTGGGAACAAAAAAAATGCTGGCTTCTGAAAACGCACTGGACTCTGGACAAATGTGGAGTCCAGGCAGATGCAAAGCTTCTCTTTACCCCTCAGCATAAAATGCTTCGCCTCCGCTTGCCAAACATGAAGACAGTGAGATTGCGAGTCAGCTTCTCAGCTGTTGTTTTTAAAGCAGTCAGTGACATCTGCAAAATCCTGAGTGAGTACCTTGGGAGGCCTCCCCTTGAGACTCTTAGCAAAGGAAATCATGTGTGCTTTCTCCGTACAAGCAGTCGGCTTTACCAGGACACTTCCTTTGGTAGGAAGCACACTTTTCAAGCCCAGTTCTGGGGACTTTAGCCATGTACCAAAGTTAAGCCAAAGGGAACATTATTGGAATAAATCTGATTCATTTCCACATAGCTTAAAACAAATCTATTTCAA